TATGGTTGACTGTACTTTATGGTTGACTGTACTTTTGAAAAGTGTTAAAGGTCACATCCTCAAGAATGTGAGTATTAAAGTACAGTCAACCATAAAGTACAGTCAACCAATATATAAAGATAAATGTTTAAACATCTAAATGTCTTAATATATAAAAATGTCTACATGCCCCAACCTTCTAACACTGTCTGGAGGGCTACAAGTCACCCTCCCTGGATGCTTTCCTGCAATATTTTGCCAGCTGCAGTTCCTTATTTAATGCTTTATAAGTCAAAAGTGCCAGCAGACCCCCTGCAATATATATTTCTGCATAATAATCCAGTTCCTTAGCAAGCAGCCTGCATTATATCCGCAGTGAGCCAAAACTGGATTCTATATGGTATAGCAAAACCTTTTCTGGCTTTGTGACGTTTCCTGAAACCCATCTTCTTCCCCTGCACTTTTTCTCCAGTTCCTCAGTGCAGTTTTGTATTTTCCTGAAATGAGTTTTAGCTTAGCTATTGCCAACTCCTTTTTCAGTATCTGCTTTTTTTTTTAGCATTTTTCTTTCAGAGAGCGTTTAGCCCAGTGTTGTCCAAACTTGGCCACTTTAAGATGAGTGGACTTCAACTCCCAGAATTCCCCAGCCAGCCATTCTGGGAGCTGAAGTCCACTCATCTTAAAGTGGCCAAGTTTGGACAACACTGGGCTAGACAATGTGCTTCACCAGGGAGTTGAAAACTTGTAAAACTTGGTTAAAGGTTAATATTGCTTTAGCTTTTTAATGACTTTGCTAGCTCTGCCAACCCAGGTTTGCTACTTTAGGATTTGTATTATGTAATCCCAGAAAATGGATTAATTCAGCAAACTGTCACGACTGAGTTGCATGAGGGTAGCTGATTAGTAGCCATATTACAGGATCCAAATGTAGGAGTAGAAAATTCATCCCTATGAATGAATAAGAAAAGGAAGTAGGGAGAATTGGGACCAGGATAAAGGGAAGGAAATGGTCCCAATAGCAATTATTTCTGGCATTCTTCTAGTTAAAAAGAAAAAAATCCTATTTACCTGAAAGAAAAATAACCCTTAATTTAAGATGATCCTCTCAGTCTTCCCATCTCACAAAGGAAGATGTCCTAATGTGCCTCTATCATCAACTTCTCCGTTAATCTAAGGACAGTATTTATCAACCTCAGCAACTTTAAGATGTGTGGACTTCAAGTCTGCTGGCTGGGGAATTCTGGCTGGGGAATTCTGGGAGTTGAAGTCCACACATCTTAAAGTTGCTGAGGTTGAGAAACACTGATCTAGGATGACCTTCATATTTTAAAGTTAAATGTTTAGGGAACCTTTCTTTCAGGTAAATACAGATTTTAAAAAATCCTAATTATGGAATAAAATAATTTCTGCAAAGCAGAAATTGGGTCAATAGATAGTTGAATCATTCACAAGAAGCCAAACAAACAAATGAAAAAAAAACATGGATTCAAAATAAGGCCCGAACATAGAATATCTCTAATGGCTACATGTAAAGAACTTCTCATGATTATGTTTCTCTGTTTGTCTTTCAGTCATTGTACCTCCACAAGGTAAGGAGTGATAGCAAGAAAGAATGGGGGTTGTTTCTTAGTTCTACACATTATTAAAGTGATTAGCAGAAAAAAACCAAAACCAAAATCTAGTTGCAGGTTACTCAAGCAAGCAAGTCAAACTGTATAGTTTGTATATCTTGGATATATGCTGTCTTCTTTTTAATTTTTTAATTGTAGGCCACCCATAGTTGCTGTGGAGTCAAGCAGCCTTGAAACTGAAAGAAGAAATAAAATAAAAATAAAACAAAGAGTTACTTGGTTAGAGTAGAGTAGAGGTGTTCTACAGCAGGGTGCCTCAACCTCAGCAACTTTAAGATGGGTGGACTTCAACTCCCAGAATTCCCTCGCCCGCACGGCCGGGTTGGGGGATCTTGGGGTTTGAGGTCCCCCCCCTTAAAATGTGCGTGGGGGAGTGACACTGCTCGTGAAACCACCTC